AATTTTCAGTATCATTACTCCAGTCTCACATGATCCTTCAGAAATCAATTATTTTTTTTCTGCTGTTCAATCAATCAATCAATCAATCAATCAAGAGTTTATTGTCATATGTACAGGAAACACAGTTACACTATACAATGAAATTCTTACTCTGTGAATCCTCTAGCAGCCAGAGACATACTAATAACCACAAAGACATATTATGAAGTTACAAGTGCTAGTGCATGTACATGAATAAGTGTGAGTTTATATTAGTGTATAAAGTGACCAGTGCGATGTAAAGAGTCAAATATGCATGTAGCTACAAAGTCCAAATGAGGTAGGTTGTGGACTGACTATGTTGTGTATTATACTCAAAGTCCATTTTACCGTATTGGGGGAAGAGGCAATGGATGACAGCCATTTACTAGCCTGATGGCCTGAGGGTAAAAGCTGTCTCTCAGTCTTGATGTTCTAGCTTTAAAACTCCTGTATCGTTTGCCTGAAGGAAGGCGTGTGAAAAGGCTGTGCTGGGGGTGACTAATGTCTCTGATGATGTTCATAGCTCTCTTAATAGATCTGGTCTGGTAAATGCTGTCCAGTGCTGTTAAGGCAGTTCCAGTGATGATTTTGGCTGATCTCACCACCCGTTGTAGGGCCTTCCTATCCTGCACTGTGCAGCTGCCAAACCAGACGATGATGGAGCTTGGTGAGAATACTCTGCTAGTGCAGCTGGGCAGGTTTTGAGGACCTGACCAGGGATGTTGTCTGGGCCGGCTGATTTCCGTGTGTTTATTGTTCTAAAAGTCTTTGCCACTACTTCAGATGAAATCATTAATGCCGGTGAGCTCTCTGCGTTCCCTTCAACGAAACAGATGCCTGCTGGTTCATTGTTGGGAGCCTGAAAGCGTGCAAAGAATTTGTTGGGTGTAAAACGGTGGTTAGTGTTCTCATACCTGCCCTTGCTCTGATAGTCTGTGATGTTCTGTAATCCCCGCCACATGCGCCGGGTGTCCATAGTGGTGCAGTGATGCTCAAGTCTCAGGCTGTAATCTCTCTTGGCATTCCTAATGGCTCTGCAAAGATCATACCTGGCCTTCTTGTAGTTGATGGCATTACCTGTAGCAAATGCAGCAGAGCGTATGCACAACAAGGATCGAACTTCACCATTTATCCAGGGTTTCTGATTAGGAAATGATCGGATCTTCTTAGAAGGTATTATATACTGTTGGTGCATGTACTAATGTAGCTGGTTACAGCTGACGTGTAATCATCGAGATCAACAGTACTATCCTCACGTCTAGCAGCATCCTTAAAAACATCCCCGATAGTCTTGAAGCACAGCATCCGATTCTGCGGACCACATTTTTACACTTTTATTAACTGGGGGGGCTTGCTTGAGGATCTGTCTGTATGCAGGGTAGAGAAACACAGATATGTGGTCTGATTTTCCGAAGTGAGGCCGGGGAACAGCTTTATATGCTTCATTCACATTGCTATACACTTGGTCCAATGTATTTCTCTCCCTTGTGGGAAAATCAACATACTGATAGAATGTTGGAAGCACTAACCGTAAATTACAGTGGTTGAAGTCCCCTGCCATGATAAATACAGCTTCTGGGTGTGTGCTTTCTTGTGCATTTATGGTGTCATAAAGTATCGTGAGCACAGCCGCTGAATTTGCGTTTGGCGGAATGTAAACAGCTGCGAGGAAGACAGCAGAAAACTCCCTCGGCAAGGAGAAGGGCCTGCATTTTACTACTAAAAGTTCCAAGTCACTCGAGCAATGTTTACTGACTGTACGCACATCTGAACACCACCGGTTGTTAATATAGACACATGTGCCCCCACCTTTATAAACCACAAATAACTAAGACCGCGGGTGGAGTACACAGAGACATCGGCCACGAAGGGGCGTCACCTTGTCTTCAACTGTTTGATCCTAAAGTACAAAACACACAATGCTGCTTATTAAAAAAAAATTTAAAGGGGTCATATGTTGTTGCTAAAAATAACATTATTTTGTGTCGTCCTGTTCAATAACAGAAAGCTAACCTCACCACACTCAAGTCCTCTAAATAAACTGAATCATTGTACTCAACGCCAGTATTTGAGTGGGATGACGGCAGAATCATTACCAGAGGTTATGTTACATCCTCACATCTCATTCCATGTTTACCATTTTCCTTTTCTTCGCTTCCCATCGGTTCATGTGGCCTATCCATGCGGAAACTCAGCGGTTAATTTCATGAAACATGAAGAGAGTCTCAGAGCAGAGAAAACTCTTCACCAGCACCACAAAGCAACCAGTGTTTCTGTCCTACGGTCACCACTCAATGCTACTAAATCCAAGTACATTTCTTCAAATCAAACTGCACACTATCAGAGCAATAGAGGGGATTTACCAACATATGCTTTAAACAATATCAGAGCGTTTACCTCTACTGAAATAGGATGGTAAAACGGATTGTGCAGAATGCAGCCTCGGCGTGGGTCACAGTAGTTGATGATCTTGGACGTGCTCCGAAACCTGAAAAATTATACCTTTGCAAGCAGTATACAGAGGAATGAGGGAATCAAGGCACATCTGACTCTAAATACATGAGATCCTTTTTACTCGTATGACTTCATGCGATTTTTGATAGCAATATAGATGTATCCTTCACCGTCTACAGTATTCCACAATCCTAAGGGTGAAAAAAAGCTTCTAAAGGAGCAAATGAAATAAGTACATATAAATAAGTAAGATTAGGTCATTCAAGATGTAGATGGGTTTGTTTCTTCATCAGATTTGGAGAAATGTAGCATTGCATCACTTGCTCACCAATGGACCCTCTGCAGTGAATGGGTGCCGTCAGAATGAGAGTCCAAACAGCTGATAAAGCATTACAATAATCCACAGTCCATCAATTAACAAATCCATCATTTTAAGGCATTTTAACATGAGCCCATAATCCATAATAATGCTTCCTTCAGTGAAAAAGTCCATCACCTGTTGTCCTCTCACACTAAAAGCCATCCACATATTTGTTTAGAACTGTTTTGGACTGTATTCATTTGTAAATGGTGCTTGATCTGTGCAGATTTCTGTCCTGATAGAGACAAGACAACTTTTTTACTGGAGAAAGCAATATTATCGATAGAGGACTTTTGCTTTAGAAGCAATGTTTTGAAGATAAAAAAACATCTATATGATGGATTTATTTCTTACATACAGCTCCCAACTTCACAAGACATTAACTGATGGACTGGAGTGGTGTGGATTACTTGTGGATTATTGTGATGTTTTTATCAGCTGTTTGGACTCTCATTCTGACGGCACCCATTCACTGCAGAGCATCCATTGCTGAGCAAGTGATGGAATGCTACATTTCTCCAAATCTGTTCCCATGAAGAAACAAACTCATCTATATCTTGGATGGTCTGAAAATGAGTAAATTGTCAGCAAATTTTCATTTTTAGGTGAACTGTTCCTTTAAGCAATTTAAGATATAGCTATATTCATGAATTTAAACCGTTAAATGGTGATCAGTTAATGAGATGATAACACTAATGTGACTATGAGGAGCATATCACAGTGCTGATGGGGACACTAAATCAAGACTAAATGATTTAGGACAACCTGAATCATTTGGTCTGTCAACACAAATAGCTTGTGGCTCACAGCCCTCTTAAACACACCATGGCCAAATTTTCTAAAATGGTAAAGTGATGCCTGGTGTTTTTACAGTCCTGGCTCCAGAGCTCCGCTGGCACAGTTCAGCAAACACAGCGCAGAGACACTAACACACTGCGGCAGCGCCAACAGAGGCCTGAGAGACTAAGAGAGAAAGATAAAAGTTACAAAGAATACAAGAGACGTGCAGTCTCAGACGAAACACCCACAGGCAGTACAATCCAAAAAACATCCAATGCATACTGCACACAAAAATGACATTTGCTTCCTCTGACAAGCTTTAATGTGATTTTTCAACTTGTGTGACTTCCAGAAGTCAGGGTGCACAGGATAGTACCAGTTAACCTGGAAACAAAGTCATGGTTAGACAAACACATATGAAGAACTAATCACTAGATTCACCAAAGTTGACTAGGTTAATGGCATCAATTTTTTTTTTTAAAGAAAGAAATGAATGCTTTTATTCAGCAAGGTAGGATGCATGAAATTGATCAAAAGTGATTCTTTTGAACTTTCTAAAGATCAAAAAAATCTATCGCAGTTTCCACAAAAATACTAAGCAGCTCAACTGTTTTTAACAATGATAATAAGCAAATCAGCATTTTAGAAAGATTTCTGAAGGATCATGTGACACTGAAGACTGGAGTAATGATGCTGAAAATTCAGCTTTACATCACAGGAATAAATTACATTTTAAAATAGATTAAAAAAGAAAAGTTCTTTTAGATTGTAAAACTCACAATATTACTGTTTTACTGTATTTATGATCAAATAAACATCAAAGCCTTGATGAGCAGAAGAGACATCTTTCAAAAACTCAATACTTTTGAATTGATGTCAACTTTTTTCGATAAACCCGCCTTTTAAAACAAAACTTGGTTAAATGTCAGCCAAACAAACTATTCCTGTTTAAGTGGGCTGTTCTTTGGCAGAAAAAGCTGTGACCGTCAAAAGTTGAGACTAAGCATTATTCATGTGGCTATCCAAAGACATAATGAACTGCATCAGATGTCAGGTGACTCCTGCCGAGGTCTCGCCGTTTCATTTCGCACGTTCTCTGGATCTACAGCTGGCTCTCGCTCTTGGTTCAACACCAAGGCCACCCACCCCTTCTCACCAGAGCCAGTTCTTCTGACAAAACACAATGCATCAGCATTCACACGTTACTCTTTAGATCTGACCGAAGCACAGGAACGAGGACTGGAGTTTGGCCCAGAGAATGTCACCTACAGCTGGACAAGAGGAGACGCTTAGTGCTCAAACACAAAAAACCTGCTGTTTCCAGTCCCACAAACAGCAACAAATTGAGACCACACCAGCAGATCATATATTTTTTTTTATTTAGTTTGAAAGAAACTAATAATATTAAAATAAAAGCACTCACGCTATTACGTCAACCGAAAGACAAAGTGAGAAAAGAAAAATCTGTTCCACAGGAATATGGATTGATTCAACCCTCCAGCAAAGCCCGTAACAAGTCTTTCAACGTATGACCATGTGTCACAGCAGCCGCTTTGGATAGTATTAGTCACTTAAGAAGAACATGAATATCGGGAACATTTAAGACTTTGGGAAAGCGGTGATCTATGTCACCAAAGGCCAAACGTTTCAGGGTCACGACAGTCTAGAAATACCCAACCAAACAGATTCAGAATGAGAGTTTGCCCTATCGCACATCGTTTCTTGTTATATGGCTAGTTAAGATGTGATTGGGGGAGTTGTAAATGAGTAATATTTTTGGGATACACTATGAGATAACATGTGCGTGGCTGCGTGTTGCATGTGTGCGAGTGTGATTATTATAAAGCGCTGCTGGCCAGAAAATCTAAAAGTAGAGTTCAAAGAGATTTCGACAGCCTGGGTGAGTGAAGCAATGCACAGCAGTACAAAAAAAAAAAAAGAACAAAACTGTACACACAGATTCTGGAAGAGGAAACAGCAGACAAATAAACAATCAGGAAGACAATAAACAGACAAGCGTACAAGAGGACAAACACTTACATGTTTTGAAAGACAGAGAGAAAGAGTGAGACAGATGTTTGTAAGGTATGAATGGACTCTAGGCTCTGTAGAGCAGGATTTTCTCTGCACACGTCTGGCCCACCAAACTAGCATACTGCTCCACTTCCTTCTCGTCGTTCGAACCCTTCCGCTTACGGGCGTAGGCCGCATAGGGCATCACTGTCCTCCTGTGGAGCACTAACACCCTGCCCAGTTCCTTCAGCGCACAAGCATCACCTACAGAAGTACACAGAGAGGAGAAGAGTTAGACAAACCCTGAAAAACGAAAATTCTAAAACTCATTTTGAACTTTGAAATTCAAAAAATTGTTTTGCAATTATTAGAATTCTTCTTCCTTGCAGTCGAATTCAAATTGCAAGTCTGCATCTCGTTTGCCACCTCAATTCAAATTCAAATACAGGAACTGAATTGGACATTAAAATGCATTCTCAATTCGATTCCGAAAAGTAAGACAAACGCTAAAAAAACTAAAGTGCTGCAGGATCACTAAAAATTAAAGACCATTTGTTCCCATGAAGTCACCACTTAACTACAGACTAAGTCTAAGGTTTTGTTCTGAACTTCCTAGCGCGCTGCCTTGCTGTGTACTAGCTACTGTACATAGGCAACTACCCTCTAAGTTAGCTATTTGAAATGCTCAACATAGTCAGAAACATTTTTTTCCCCCCGTTTCTTTGACTTGTTAATTTTGTGTCCCCTATTATTGTGCAGTAGTTCTACGGTTTTAAAATTTGCTTTATAAATAGATTTTCACTTAGCTTATACAATGCATTCTGGGATTGTCTTATTCATGAAGGATGCACTGCCATTAAACAGTTTGGAGTTTTTTTCCCCCCTCATGTAAAGTAGTCTCTCATCCTGCATTTATTTGAAAAATGCATAAATTAATTATATTAAAAAACAGTAAAAACTTTAATATTGTGGATTATTACAATTTAAATTTGTTTTTGTTTCAAATAGTTTAATTGGTTTCTATTTTAATATATTTTTAAAATGTAATTTATTCCTGTGATGCGAAGCTGAATTTTCAGCAGCAGTGTCACATGATCCTTCGGAATACAAGACAATATTGAAAACAGTTTTGCTGATGTTTTTGTGAAAACTGCGATATATTTTTTCAGGACAGAAAAAGAACAGCACTTTTTTTTAAAAATAGAAATCTTTTGTAACAATCTAAATGTCTTTACTGTGACTTTTGCTCAATTTAATGCATACTTGCTGAATAGGTTTTTTCAACAAACAAATTAAAATAACATTTTTAAAAAAACGCAAACCATTGAACGGTAGTGTACATGAAATGCTACCTTAGAGTCTGACCAAATGAAAACCTTACAATGGCAGAATAAACACCCAGGTAAGCAACCACAACGCCTTAGCTTTGACATTTGCACAGGGAAGCACAATGTCAATTTTCACTTTTGCCTAAAAACAAAGCCAAGGAAGGCAACCCTCCAACTAACAAAGCTACTTCAACTTTACATCCTTCGTTGACACAACATGAAGTCACTGGGTGGAGGGATAAACATCAGTGCACATGGTCTGAACTCAAAGGTTCAAATGAGGGTCAGGTGCAGATTCTGACTCACAATTAGCCAGGTATGATGATGAAAAAGCATCTCTCCACCCTTAGGCAACGACACGGGGTCAGTCAGGGTTGCTGCAGCTTGACCTCAATCGTCACAAACATAGAAGCAAATCCATTCCAAACCAGCATCTCAGAGCAGAACAGCCAGAAACGTGGAACAATGACTCCTTCACTGAAGGAACAGCTTGGTTGGTTCCCATTTGTTTATAGGGCTTCACTCCAGCAAGCCAAAATTCTGACACACATTGCGTATTCAGTCAAGAAGCCAACACCTTCCCCTATGAGCAGTTAAAACAGGAATTGTTGAAGAAGAAAAAAAAAGAGCAATCATTTGTGGAAGCTTGAAAATGGCCCTCCATGGCAGCAGGAGGTTAAAATAGGGGAGAATAAACCACAAGGCCTGGCTGACTAACCTAAATGAAGAATTACAACGTCAACTCAAATCAACTCACATAGCAGCACTGAGCAACGGCACTATGAAGCGAGGCTTTGTCAAGTTCACATTCAAAATTTTGAATGTTTTTGAAATTTAAAGACATTTTGACATTCAAAATGTGGAACTGCAAATTAAGGAAGTAGGATTCCAACATATTAAATTTTGCTTTTTCAGTTAAAGCTCAAATCAAAAAGGACAATTTAGAATGTTGCAATTAATTGGAATTCTACTTCCTTAAATTCAAATTCAAATTGCAATTCTGCATCTTGTTTGCCACCTCAATTCAAATTCAGGAACTGAATTGGAATTTAAAAGGCATTGTTAATTCAATCCTGAATGGTGCACAGCCCTGTGCAGGAAACACTGATAATAAAGCTAAAGAACATACTAAAATACTTTGAAATACAACAGAGTAGACAAAAAAAGTGGCGCTAAATTACATTTTGGCATAAAGCACTGGGAAAATAATGTAATATTGCACAAACTGACAGAAATACACAAACTATAGGCCACCAGCCTTAAATAAAGCTGGAAGAACATAAGGGAAAATAAACACCAGGATCTGCAAAACTCCAGGCCAAGAGTGACAGATGAGGAGCAATATATTGCTAGGGAAGTTATGATTGTTATTAACAGATCTGACACCAGCTCATGGCTCTGACTCTGTGAAGTGCCTCATCTGGAAGCCAGCTGACAGAGATTTCATGGGGATGCTGGGTAATGTAAATTAGCCCTCATCATTTCACACACATAGGGGGTAGGGTTTAATTTTCACTGTTTCCCTGTAATATAACCAGTAAAACTCATCCGCCACACAGACACTGTTCAAACTTGGCTTCGGGTTTTGTGGGAGATTGAGGGAATGAGAAAAGGGGAGACCGGGGGGTGGAAAAGAGAAATGAAATATAAAACTTGAGCACAACTATACAGTACCCACACTGTTCTCTCATTTTAATACAAAAAAAAGAGCAAACACTGTTGAGAAGACCAGCATATGTTGTGTTATTCCAGATCATGCCATTTGACCAGCATCACAGTATTTAACCAGTATAAACCAGCCTGAACTAGTAGGGAAATCCACCCTGGGCTAAGAAGTTCCTTTAAGCAGAAAAGTTGGGGAAAATAAATGAAAAAGGAAACAAGATGGATTAGATGCACTCTGTACTTTTGGCGTACTGTGGTCCCAGAAAGTATTTGAACACTTATGCAATGCCTAAAAAATGTCTGAATTTCATTGCATTATATGCAATATATAAAATCAAATGACACCTGCAAACAAAAGACACTGCCAACCACAATATTTTGTCTTCATTTCGAAAAATACATCGATTGTTTGTCTTCAAACTTAATCTGTGAAACATTTGGCTTTCTTTCATATAAATGAAATTTGCGTTAATAAAAAAATGTCCAAATACTTGTTGGGGTCACAATAGCTGAAGAGGCCTTTATAAATGTACAGATCTGTATGTTCTGTATTTGATTAGATCTGATCCTTGTCTGTAATGGAGAAAGATGCTAGCCACTCCAGACTGTAATACGATAGCAGCGCGCAGACAGATAAAGCAGGATAAATAGAGTGTGAGGAAGACAGACAGCAAAAGAGTGCGCGAGAGAGAAAAAAAAATGGAGAGAGGAAAAAGAGAGGTAACTGGCAGTCCATCACATTACATCCAATAAATTATGATAAATGAAGAGCAGACGAGACCCGTGAACAGCAAGTTCTGGACGTTCTCTCATAACCGTTTGAAGCCCCTGCCTACACCCCCAAAACCAAACACTGAGAGTTTTTATTTCCACTCAAAAAGAAGAAAAAACATTCCTGGAAAACCCCTTCAGGCACTCAATGCTCCGTTTCTGTCCCAGTAAGGTACTTCACTTACCCTGTTAGAGGAAAACGAACGCTTACTTTATATTTTTATACTGAATATCTTCAGTTATTCATTTATTTTTTACTTGCAAACAGTAGTTCTTGGAATTAAATAAGCTTGGAGTTTAAAATTCAAGTTCAGCCAAAATTCTAAATCAGCACAAATGGCCCTCTAGGGTAAACAGGTTGCATAATACATTAGCATTTAAAGAGACAACCCAAGTGAATGCATCTGAAATTTGGGAGAATATATGCTCAGCATGGTATTATGCAACTCAAGTGCTCATATTTTACGAAGGAAAAAGTTCAGAGGTACCCTGTGGGATGAGATCCATTTACCCTTAAATGGGACTACAGCAAAAGAAACTGTATTTTACACACATTATAAATTTTTGGTCTGAAATAAATGTCATGAGATTAGGTATTGCAATACAATACAGAGACAATAAACAGCAAGTTCTTATATTGTTGTTTTCACTGGCTGCATGCAAAAACTAAACACAGCACGATATGAGTAGTCTGATTCGTGAACAAATGACTTTTTTTAATGAATCACAAATTTGTTGAGATCGCAATAAACAGTTCAGAATAAAAGCTTTTTGCTGCTCAATTAAGCACGACAATAACACTGTACAGAGTCGTCACAACAGTTGGGCTCTTTTCATTCAGACAATCCAAACATCCGCTCTGTACCATATATAAACACACTCCTTCCCCCGCCCCGTTCTTACTCCATTCATCCATCCTCTATTCCATCCCGGCACGATACTCAAAGAAAAGGAAGTGTCCTACAGAAACACGTTTTTGCAACATATTAAAACTAGTTATTAGAACTTTTCTGTGCATATGTACAGTACCGGTCAAGATTTTGGAATATAAAAAAGTCTCTCTAAAATAAAAAATATAATACAAATAATAATATTGTGAAATATTATTGCAATTTAAATGAACTGTTTTCTATTTGAATACATTTTAAAATGTAATTTATTCCTGTGCTGCAAAGCTGAATTTTCAGCATCATTACTCCAGTCTTCAGTGTCACATGATCCTTCAGAAATCATTCTAATATGCTGATTTGCTGCTCAAGAAACATTTCTGATTATGATCAATGTCGAAAACAGTTGGATTAAAATAAATGCAGCCATGGTGACTTCTTTCAAATTCACTGAAAAATCTTGAATATTCAACACTTTTGGCCAGTAATGTAACCCTAACTACACATTATAATATAAATATCCATTCATCCGGCGAGTAACATTAATTCAGCAACCACTCTGACAGACACAGCAAGCAATTTGTTAGACTGATTCAAAAATGTGTTTATTTTT